TATAATTTCAAAGAAACAGAGAATCTCACAAAGCAAAACAGTCCTATGCAACAGTATTATCAGGAAAGTTTGAATTTCATAATAACTAGAAAGAGTGATTTCACACAGGATTATAATATTGATATGTTTCACATTGCTAAACTTGGAAAACTAAAAAAAAAACTTACCTGTTTGCAATAAGTAGCTATTTTTTCTTGTACTATTAATTTTAATTGTGCAATTTCCATTATTATATATAAAATTTCCATATCCACAATGGTGGTGTACTGTCTGGGTACAATTTCTTTTAAATACAATAGCAAACCTTATACACACATTCAATATAATTATAATTATAGCCATTATTCACTCAATCTATTCACCATAATCTTCACTTATCCTTATTAGTTTCCATTATTTAATTAAATATCCATTCAGTTTTATTATATAAGTAATTAATATCAGACCTTATGAATATCACATTCGTCATTATTATCCTCCAAATCTAATAATCATATTTCCTTATCCTATTTACTCAACATTCATTATTTAATTATACATTTATTTCATTTATATTTACATATCCTCCTTGATTTTAATTTTCTAAATTCTACTTCTATTTTCTAACCATTGATAAAATAGTTCCCAAGTTAAAAAGTATTCTATGTCCTTCTTATTCTTGATCTCCAAAGTTAATCTATCCATTTCAGCACAATCTAATATTTTCTTTATTACATTTTCCTCTGTATGTATATTTTCATTTTCTAATTTTCTGCATATATAATTCTTGCTGCTGTTATCACATGAAAAATTAAATATGTGATTCTTTTGTTATATTTTTCCTGTAACATACCCAACAAAAACATTTCTGGTTTTAAGTCTATTTGTTATTTTATCATTCCTTCTAGCCATTGTTTTATTTTTTAACCAATATTTTTTTGCCCTTGGGCAAGTCCACCATATATAATATTAAGAACCCAGTATCTCTTTACATTCCCAACACTCAGGAGATACATTTTGAAATGTATTTGCCATCCTTGCTGGAAACAAATGCCACCTATAAAACATTTTGTACAAATTTTCTTTATAAGCTGTTGATGTCATCAATTTATAATTCCTTTCCCAAAGTTTTTGCCACTATGGTACCCCCAAAATTTTTAGATCACACTATCATTGTTTCTTTTACCTGTTCTTTTTCCATTTTAAAATTCAATAAGTAGCTATATATTTTTATTAATTTGTCATCCATCCCTAAAAATATATGTTCTAGTTCTAAATCTTCTTTATAGAATTCATACATTTCTGCATCTTTCTTGTATCTTGATTGTATTTGGATGAATGGCCACCAGGTCAAATCAATTCCTTGGTTTTCCAGTTCTTGTTTCAATTTTAATTCCTCTTGTTCATTTAGAATACCTTTATATTTTGCAATGTTTCCCAATTCAACAACATTTGGATGAACTAGTGCTTCCATCATGAATAGCCAAATTGGTATTTTCATATAATGTTTCTCTTTAATTCTTTCCCATACTGAGAATAAAGTATTTCTAATACGATGTTTTTGGAAATAACTATGTATTTTATTTTTCCCATATAATATGAATGCATGCCACCTCAATTGTAAATCATGTCCTTCTAAGGTCAATACTCTTTTATTCCTCAGATTTATCCATTCTTTCACCCATGTAAGCATGGAGACCTGGTAACAAAGCTCCCAATCTGGTAACCCAAATCCCCCCTTGTTTTTATTTTCTTATAACATTTTCAGTTTTATTCCTGCTTTTTTCCCTTGTCAAATGAACTTTAAGATAAGTTTGTTTAGGTCCTCAAAACTCTTTTTTTAAATTTTTATATAAATTGTTTGAAACAGGAATAATAGCTTCAGTAAAATATTCATTTTTATTGTAGCAATTCTTCCTACCATCAATTAAGTAGCTAATTTTAAAAGCTTCTTGCAATCAATTGTTGATTTCCAGAGATGTTACTGACATTTATTCAAATAAAATCATAACATATGAAAATATTATTCTACAACTTGCTTGATGCACTATCTATATAGGACAACAGAGATCAGTTGATAAATCTATTCCATTTAATCTTGAATATTTAGTAGTAAATGTAATATTAATATTTAAAATTCTACTGAGAAAAATGAGCAGAAAATTTCCTCTTCTACTGAATAAATTACTAAATATTTCAAAGGAGAAGCAAAAATTGAAAGAAAAGTTTCATTTATTAATAGTTTCTCTTAATAAGTTGTTCCCTGTTGTTTAGCTCTGGTTTAAAAATAATTATGTAACATTTGGGGAAATATATGCAGCCCAACAACCCAGCAATAGAGGCAAAAATAGAGAAAACCTCCACAGCCACCATGTATTTGGCTTTGGTGCTTTGGTAGGATGGAACAAAAGAGATCCACACGCTACAGAAGATCAGCATGCTAAATGTGAGACATTTGGCTTCATTAAAACTGCTGGGAAGATTCCTGGAGAAAAATGCTACTGTGAAACTGGCAGCCGCCAGAAAGCCTATGTAGCCCAGGACAGAGTAGAACATGGTAGATGAACCTTCACTGCACTGCAGTATGATTTCCTCTTTTTCTGAATAGGTGTCCATGTCAGGAAAAGGGGGAAATGTGAACAGCCAGATCATGCAGATGCTTGTTTCAATCAAGGAACAAGAAAGAATCATGGAGATGGCCAGTCTTGTTCCCACCCATTTCCTTATCCTGGATCCTGGCTTGGTAGCTATGAAAGCCAAAACCACACTGACAGTCTTTGCTAGCACAGAAGATACAGTCACTGAGAAGATGATGCCAAAGATAATTTGTCTGAAGACACATATTACATTTCCAGGTGCAATGAGGAACTCCAGTGAGCAAAGGAAACAGAGGAAGAGGGAGATGAGTAGAACATAATTGAGATTTCGGTTATTGGCCTTGACAATGAGAGTATGGTGTACTTCAAAAATATTGCCAGTACCACAATTGTGCAGAGAACAAAGACAAGTGCTAGAATGAATAAACATGTTCCCATTGGTTCTTCATAGGACAGAAAAAATATTTTCTTGGGAAGACATGAATTTTTGTCCTTACTTGGATATTTATCTTCTGGGAGGATTTGGAGGATTGAAAAATGGCGAAAAGAAGGAAGAGACAGCACTCTGCAGCAGAGAGTTTATCCAAGCCTTTGAAGCAGCAGAGAATGGAAGATTATATTGCAAATAGACAGTCTGTTCCAGTGAGTAACTCATTCCCAGGCACCTTGTCAGACAAACTTAATTTATGTGATTCATTGGAATGTGATTTACAAACCGAACTGGAAGATAAGCAGTGTGTAGAGCTGTCCTCCTCCCTCTCGGAGGGTGGTTCCTGTTCCTGGAGGCCAGCAGCAGCCTTCTTTGCTCAGGGGGGAGATGTAACAAATTTAAAGAAGGAAAATGTGACAGATTTCCTCTCTAGACAATGTTTGTTACAGCTCAAACTGTAAACTCAATATATGATCTTTTGTCATTTGTCATAAATTAGGTCAATTGCCTGAAAGAATCTTTTGCAATGTTTGTTAGGAGCCACTCAAATACTGTAGAAGGACTTGGGAGAATAACCATGGATAGATATGGGATGGCTAACTCAGAAAATGATACTAGCAAAAGACCTTGTTTTCCTCCCCAAAATTTGAACACATATAGAGAAAACACTCAATCAGGTAAAGGCCTAAGAGGTGACCAACACTACTGTCTGCAAACTAACCAGGTTACCATGCAAATTTATGACAAAAGAGTAAATAGAGGGCGTTGGAGTAATAGAAAAGCTATTAGGATGTTCCTGAGCCAGCTGCTCCGTTGTGAACTCACTCTGATAGATCTACTACAATCAGAGTGTCTGCCAGCAAGAATGCAATGTATGAGAATTCTCCTATCATTCAAGCAACCTACAATCCCCTCCATGCTTTTCAGAATGAATCCCTTTCTGAGCACCTTCTCAATATTTCCATTAAGAGTTTTTTGCACAGAAAAAGTGTACCCACTCCTGAAACAGCATCAACAAGTGGGAACTGTTGCTTTAAATCTAGGTTGCAACAGATCTCACATTGCTAAACCTGAGGCTGCTGCAACTGAACTGACCCCAAGAAGGCAAAGAAGCAATATACAAACAGTGTTACCCACAGCTGTAGGAACTGCTGAGGATGTCCCAGAGGAAACATTGACTTATTCAGTGCATTGTCAGAACCTGAGCAAGTTAACATCATTCAAAGATTGGATGACCTAAAAGAGGCATTGACAACAACTCAATCTACAACAAAGCCTCTATTTAATTTGGCTCCACTAATCATGCAATCTTGTGACAATGTATTTAATCAACAAACTGCCTCTACCTTAACAGTAAAAGAAGGTACTGTCACACAAGCTGACTGTGGGGTAACTGCACTGACTGACCCAACCTCTGAGAAACAACTGAAAGACAAAGGGCTTCATCACACAGTGCCCCCTAAGCTGACAAACACTAAGGAGATAATCCAGCTTCGATCTTCAATTGATTTAGAAGCTCCCATAACAGCTTTCCACAAGATGAATCCTCAGCTATGCCACTCCAAAAATGGACATAAACCTACATTTAGAGATTTAAACTAGAGTACCTGCCCATTGGGGAAAAAAATCATTCTTGGAGCAAGAGCAAAGGCATACTGGCAATCGAGATATAGAGGAGCAACAAGTTCTGCACCCGTGAGGAGAAATATTGAACTTCACAACAATTGTGTTTTTAGGGGAAGTTTAAATGATATTGATCTGGCTCCAATGTCAAGTTGACATCTGACATCTTTATCATCCAGCCAATTAACTAAGCCAGATCATCTTGCTTCTGAGAACCCCATACAGTTGGTGACCTGGAATATAGCGGGTTAGAAAGGGATAGTTGATAGTGGACTGATGAGCTTTTTCTCTAGATTTGACATAATAGCCCTTCAAGAAACTTGGCGAACCAAAGTGGATGAACCAGTAGAACTGCCAGGCTTTCAGGGATGGGACTATGCATTCTTATAAAGCAAGAGTTGCAATGGCAGGGAGAGAAATTATATAATGAAGATAAGTATCCGTACTTTCTAGCTGTCAAATTTGAATATGACTAGTTTGAGTTAATATTGGTAAATGTGTATATTCCCCCAAGCATATCCCAGCACTATAATTCCGAATATTGGATGTGCTTGGAAGTTATCCTAGAAGATATAGCAATACTGTATCCTCAGTCCATTGTGGTTTTATTAGGAGATCTGAATGCTAGACTTGGTCCCTTTTTGTATGACTTGCCCAGAAGAAGGGAATCCCAGGGGAGTTCTTTGAAAACTATCCTCAGTGGCTCTCGAGAGATTGTAAAAGTAATGCCACTGGTTTGCTCCTAGTCTCCTTAATTTGTAAGGGTAATCTCCAAATTTTGGAAGGTAAGGATAAGAATTACATATACCCTTATACACACCACTCAACTAATCAAGTAGTGTACTGGATCTCTTCTGTGTGTCTAGAGGTAAGGCTGTCCTCTTCTCGGAGGTCACAGTACACCTTACCGACAACAGCGACCATCAGCCTATACGTGTGACATTGCAAGGCCACTCAGATTTAAGACCATATAACATGGCTGACAGATGGCTTACTAAAAAGGTAGAAGTGACTCAAAATAAAAGGTTAATTTGGGCTAGTTGATACTAAGGCAATATTAGAATACCTTAAAACAGAGAATGCTGTTAGGTGGGGTAGAACAATCCAATCATTTACTACTGACTGGATGTCAGCCTACAATGCATTCTCCAATCTTTGTAACATACTGAAGAAACATCTAACAACTAAACCTGCTACAAAAAGAGCTCAAGTGGGTAGACCTCACTGATTTGATTTGGATTGCCAGTGACTGAAAAAGAAATTGAAGGCAGCCATGAGGCTTGCCCAGGGGAACCCTACTTCCTATATACAAGCTAAGATGTTGCACACAAGAAGGGAATATAAAAAAACTATAACATTAAAAAAAAAAAGTTTTGCCATTTCAATCTGGCCAGAACTTGAGTTGGCTGCCAGAAGTCATAACTCAGTATCATTTTGGCATTCTGTAGCAGGTATCCTGAAGGAATGGAGATTTGCATTTGACATACTAATCTCTGCTGATTAGTAATTCTCTGGGAGAATTATTATCAGTGCTTATTTGCCTCCACCGAACCGGTAAAGAAATTATTTTCAAACAGTGATTTAATAAACCTTAGAACTTCCCCCCATTGGCCACCAGTCTCAGAAAAGGAGATACAGTCCATCATTAAAAGTTTAAAGAGCAATAAAGCCCCAGGAGAGGATTTTCTACCAGCAGAACTATTTAAGAAATTTCCCAACTGGTGTTGATCTGTATTAGCAGGCCTTTTTATACACATAAATAATACCAGACGGGTGGAAGATGGCAATAGTTGTCCCCATATATAAAAAGGGCAATAAAAAGGATCCTAGTAATTATAGGCCCATCAGTTTATATGTGGCAAAAAAAGTAACATCAGATTCAATACAATCATGTTAAATATTAATTTCAGTTGAGAGTTTCTCTCATTTCCATAAAATGCTTCAATCTCAATAAAAATAATTTGAACTGAATCATTCTGTGTCCTTCACATAACTCCCATTCTATTCTGAACCTTAGAATAAAATTGGTTCAGAGACTAGGTTAATAGATCTAATCCACACCTAAAGAAGAGAATTTAAAAAAAACACGTGAAATATTTAAACCATCCACCTCTACATTCTTTGTAGAAATAAATTGGCAATCTGGCCTTTCAGAAGCAGCAAAATAATAGCCTTTGTAATAATTACAAGAGGGAGATAAAATTGCAATATTTAAATTTTAATGTCTCTGTGGAATTAAGAATATGTTTTCAATTCTAAAGACAATTCTTGTAATTCCATCCATTAATGAAATAGTTGTCAGTGTTCCAAGGAAACCCTCAAGACCATTCAGAACTCTGACACAAAGTCCATCAAAATAAGAATTTATTATTGAAGACATCTTGGCACATCTGGGGAAGACCCGAATCTGAGATCTCACATTTTCCCCCAACCACATTAAACTCACACCCTGCTCTGTTCAATGACAAGCACATCACAAGACCCAATCAGTCTGCATTCTCTGCTTTCTCCAAACTTTGGTCTCTCCCCTTTCAGGTGCCAGCAACTTGTCCTTGATGTCATGTGAAATATGTTGCTATGGCTATACTTCCTTCGCTGCACTCCCCTTCCCACAGCTCTCCCATCCCCTGCTGTAGCAGACCTGTTTAGTCTATCTCAAGATGGATCCAGGGCTGACATTCTGCCTCCTCTCAAGCAATGAGAACATCCTGAAATGAGACAAGTGACATGAGGTTAGGGGTTAACAATCTAATCACCAGGAAAGTTTTACCGAAGTGGCTTCAGACAAAGGGTACCCCTTCCAATATATTAGACTCCTATGTAATGTAAATGTATGTAAATATGTAAATAACTCCTATGTAAATGACTCCTATGTAATCTAGAGCCCAATATTTTCTTCACTTCATAATGGGTTTCCCCTTGTACCACAATTGGCTTAGGAGCAGGTTGATCCCTTGGCCTGATTTGGAAGCTAGTGGCTAGATTTAACAAGCTGCTACAAAACTCTTCCTAATAAGTGGGGAAGGCTTAGTTTTACCATTACTGGATTTATTACTTTCACAGTGGGGAATGATCCTATTTTTGGTGGGTAACCTTAATCTAAGGTATTTCATGGACAAGTAAACCCAGTCTCCCACTTTAAAAGGAGTTTGAAGAGATCTGTACTAATCTGCCTGACATTTGTATCTCTCTGCAGTGAAGGCAAAGGTGCATTTGCAGTGGTGGGATTCAAATAATGGTTTCTTCCAACAACCAGTTCACCAAACTGCTCAGAAAGTTAACAACCG